TACACATATATATATATATATATATATATATATATATACACACACACATATATATATATATATATATATATACACACACACACATATATACACATATATAAAAGTCTATAGTAAAGACCTTCATTCCCAGTGCTAAATGCACTTCTCATTTATAAATTTAAAATGTGGATTGTTTTACTGATGATAAAGTTGTGATGGTTTACCTGTTTAAGAAAATATGACATGATGCAGAAATAGCAACATCATTAATGCACGTCATTTTTAAAAAGTTGGTCCTCAGAAAAAAAACATTTTTGAGGATCCTTGACATCAAAAAGGTTATGATTCATTACACTAAACCCTCGTCCTTTAACATTTACTTGAACTGATGTCTGAAGATCCTTGTTTTCTCCACATAACTCTGGAAAAAAAAAGTTACAACGTGCTTTCTGAGCGCTTGTTGTCTGAGCTCACCTGTGCCTCCTTCACTTTGGGGTGTGTGTGCAGGAACTGTTCGATCTCGGCCGGGTAAATGTTCTCTCCTCCTCTGATGATCATGTCTTTGATCCGGCCCTCGATCCGGCAGTAGCTGTACGCGTCCAAGCTGCCGATGTCTCTGGGGGGAAAGGTTTCAGCATTCAGACTAAATGATCTTTCACTCCACTACCGAGATGCAGTGACCGACAGCTTCCACTCACCCGGTTTTGTACCAGCCGCTTTTCGTGATGCACTCCTCCGTTTTGGCCTGATCCCCCCAGTACTCCAACATCACACAGTAACCTCTGATCATGATCTCCCCCAGCTCCCCCAGAGGTACCACTACTCCCGTTGTGGGGTTCACCACTTTAGCCTGTGGAGCAGTCCATTCACATTTTTAAATATGTTCTTTTATAGCTTTTAACTAACATATAAAGTGTTTAATTAAACATAATTCTGTTCAGCGCTGAACAATAAGTCACTTTCATGTCAAAATCACATTTCTTTTTACACACAAACAGTTTTTTCAAAAAAAAATTTGATATACACTCAGTGGATATTTTATTATGAGGTACACTTTCTAATATAAGGTAGGATGGACCCCAATTTGCCCCAAAAACAGCCTGAATTCTTTGTGGATTCACCACGGTGCTGCAAACATTCCTCACAGATTTTGCTTCATGTTACGCTGCAAAAAAAGGAAATCTTAAGAAAGTAAAAACAGTCTTGTTTCTGGGAAATGAGTCTTATTTTTTTGTCTAAAAA